AATATTTGCTACATCCGTGCTCTCATCCAGCTGCAGAGCAAAATATTCACTATCTCTCACTTGCTCCAAAAGCTGAGCAGATGTGCTGGGTGCACAACAGCGGTAATTAAAGTTTCAAAGTCTCAAAAATGCTACAACTACTGTCACAAACTAGGTGAATGTGAAGTATTTTGTTAAAGGAGGATGAAAGCGTAATTAAGGAGCACTATTGGAGTGACTTTGATGGTTANACGACCAATCATTTGAGCCGGCCCGGATAAAATAACTGGATGGCCTACCTGCCTGTCAGCCTTCCATCTGTGCACAAACTTATCTCGTGCCCTCATTGGTCATGTGAGCGTTCGTGTGTTGGAGGAGGGGCTCTGTAAGGAAGTGGCAGATTTTTTCCGGTTGTGTATTTTCAAATTCTAGCGCACTCAAGCTGGTTTCTCCAAAATTACCTACCCCACCTTTAAGGAACATTGCCAATAAAAGGTCAAATAAATTAAAATAAAATAAAGATATTTCTATAAACATATCAAATCTGCATTTTGTTCATTAGTGTATAAGTGCATACATGGTCCCGTATGCTTCTTTTCAACCTTTTTTAAGATGATTTAATGGTTATTTATTTTTTGGTAAGCACATTTTACACCAAGTAGAGCAATCTTTGATCATCTAACTCAGGGGTTCCCAAACTTTGCCATGCCAAGGACCCCCATATAGCATTATCGTCTGGCGGGGACCCCCCTGTTGCAATTCTTTTTTTAAATGATTTAAAAAAAGAATTGCAACAGGGGGGTCCCCGCCAGACGATAATGCTATATGGGGGTCCTTGGCATGGCAAAGTTTGGGAACCCCTGAGTTAGATGANCGGCTCAAATGATTGGTCGTGCTTTTTACAGTACTACGGCTTCCACAGATGACATTTTTGCATGGATTTTTTGTCAAAGCACTTCAGATATTCATTGCTATCGGGATGTTAAGAGCATTCCATGGAAAATAACAAAAAGTGTATCTCGAGCCGGTTTCTCAAACTTACCTACCCCACCTTTAACTACGTATGCTAATTGTAGTAGCCGATTATGAATAATACAACGNGTGTGCCTTGGCAGTCTCAAAAAGTGTATCTCGAGCCGGTTTCTCAAACTTACCTACCCCACCTTTAACTACGTATGCTAATTGTAGTAGCCGATTATGAATAATACAACGTTCAAAGGCCACTTAGCCTACAAAAATAATTTGAGTATTGCCTCGTGGAAATGTAAGCAATTCAAATACCATCCATCGTTTCATTCAAAGTGCTTCATTCGATATTTCAATTGATCAGTTGGCGGCCCACTAAGGACTTACAACTTTTGCATGACATTTAAATAAATGAATACAAACAAAACCAACAGGCGTGCGGATGTCAAAAAATGTAAAACTTCTCTTACACTAATATAAATATCTTTATACTATTTGATTTATTTTTTTATTTTTTCATTACATTCTTACTTTAACTTCTTATGTTAGTATAAATATTTGTATTGTATTTTGTAAATTTGTATTTATCATTTTATTTTATGTTATTCTAAAATATAGCAGCTGTAATGAAACACAATTTCCCCTGGGAAAAATTCATTATCTTGATTCTGATTCTGATTTGAACCTGAATTGTTTGGGGGAAAATGAACCAAAAAATTTCGTCATATTAAAAAAGTTCAGTGTGGCGATACCTTGAGGTTTCCAGCAGCAGTGAGCACAGACTTGACGGCCCTCATCCCGTAGTCGTAGTGATGCTGCATGGACAGCTGCTCCGAACAGAGACGATATGTAGCCACGATTTTCACCGACAGGGGCCGCGCGGTCACAAAGCCGCACGAGTAGAGCACAATCTCTGCGATCATTGCGTAGTCTGGTACCATCATGGCCACGGTCCTGAACAGAGCCTGGAGTCAAGAAAGAAAACGTTTTTTATTTTTTATGATTTATTTTAGCCATTTTTATGTAAGAGGCACTTGAGTGACTGATGGTTTAAATACCCTAAGGTCGATATTTTTGACATGTTACATCTTTTTCATTTAATCAAAACAATTTTTTTTTACAATGGTACAAAATACAAAAGAAAGATAAACAACTGTAAACTGTTTTTCTTTGTTGCCGCTAGAATGCGGATTTTCCATTTGTTATTTCAACTCCTCAATAATGTAACTGCCTCAAACCTTTAAGCTCCAGAACCCCCCAGTTTGGAGATCTAAAACAGCAGGGATGACTGAGGCTGTACCTTGAGATTGTCCGGTAGCTCAGAGCGTCCAGCGTATCCGGGGTTCATGGTGATGAACACAGCACAGGAGGGGTTCAGCCTCAGCTCGCTCCCTTCAAACTGCAGTATCTCAGCGTGGGAAGTAATTCCTGGACACATAGATACAGTATGTTTTTCATCGTCCTTTGTGCCTTTTGACTCTTATGAAGACAGTTGAACCCACTTAGTTTTGACTGCACTTGGCTAAAAAAAAGTCACTCCCACCTCGCAATCTCGATTGGTACGAAATCTAAGCTTACCTTGATGATGAGATACTAAAAGTTGCATTTTATTTGTAGATTGGGTCAGAATTAGATTCTCTCCGACGACAAACACAGATACACACTATAGTAATATTATTTAGTGACATCCGGTGCAGGGGTGCTGCTTTGGCTGTGTTTTTGTTAATTGTCAGTAATTGGACATAGTGAGGTTCATTAGTTTAAGAGTCCTCCGTCTTTTGTATTTTTTTCTTGTTTTAAACCGAACCCATCAGGCCCTTTGTTTTTTGTTTATCAGAGCACTGTTGTTTTGTACCCTTTTAGTTCATATATCTTTATTATACCACTAACATCTGGTCTTATGTTGCTCCCCTATGCCTGTAACAAGCTGGGGCGTAACTCCCTCTATAAACATTCTGTCCAGGAACAAACTCCAGGTATAAAAACAACTGTGATAAAAAGGTGTCAGTGGCAGTCAAGCAAGAGAAAACCTAATAGCATTTTCAAACTTCTGTATTGGGCTAAAGAAAATCTATATCCCCTTGTGTTGCTCTTGCATCTTATGACACAAGACTTTCGTTGCCCGCAGCACACACACTGTAGGACACACTGCTGTGTTGCGTTCAACAAAGCTGTGCTTGAAGTTTTGCCGGCCAGCATACACAAATTGCCTTGGCTGCTTTTTGCAGCTCTTTGTTGTCTAAAAACTGTTTTGTATTTCACTGGTGATTCTGGGATACTGCAGGCTTTTGGATGTAAAATAAAACAGCACAAACCTCTCTGAATGGTGAGAATCTGTTGAGCCACCACAGACAGCACCTCCAAGTCGATGCGGTTAAACTCATCAAAGCAGGCCCATGCTCCGCAGGACAAAAGGCCCTGGACACACACACATGCACACATGCACACAGCAGGTGGGAGGATATTTCAGCATGGCATAAGCAAATTCAGTGTAAGCAAATTCAGTGTAAACAAAAATGGGATTTATTTTCTGCCAGTGTGGCCGCCCACATTCAAAACATACACAAAACTATAATCACATTACAATGGTCAACTACATTAGTAAGCTTTTTCTTTTTTAGAAAGCACAGATCTGAATATCCTACGGTTCTTACAACAGGAAGTTTTGAAAAGGGCAATGTACATGAGTAACTGCTTGTATATATTTTGCCTAATAAAAGGGGAACAAAATTGCACTACAATTATGCATTATATTTGTAAGGACAGGTTGTATTGGTGTCTAGACACTGACACTTAAGTGTCTGTGTGCCATTCTGGTACATTTCTGGAAATATGAATGGAAGGGAAATGAAGTCAGTGACTGTGTCTGTGTACTGTGGTGGATGGTTGGGTAAACAAAATCAAAGAGGCAGCTGTTCATCTCCAGTGTAAAACAACAATTCAACTTCAAGTTTTTTTAATTAGTTAAAGGTCACCTATTATGCAAAACCCACTTTGTCCTGTCTTTTATACATCAACATGTGTCCCCTCTGTGGAAAGAGATTCTGGAAGTTTCAGGAACAAAGATCCTCTCTCTTTTTGTCCTGATCCATTTATATAAAAACCTGTCTGAAAATGAGCTGAAACAGGGCTGAAACAGAGGGGATTATGGGATGCTGCAATGATCTGTNAGATTCTCTCTCTTTTTGTCCTGATCCATTTATATAAAAACCTGTCTGAAAATGAGCTGATCAGATTTTGGCCACTTTTTGATGTCATAACGATTTCTTGGCTTGTGTAACCATTAGTCAATCACCAACCAAGGTAAACCCCCCCCCACCTTATCACCTGAATCTCCTCCTAGAGCACCAT